TAGAAACCTTACCAAAATACCACTTCTGAAGGCTTATCTTAATGTATTCCTAAAAAAAATTAAAGAAAAAATAAAGAAAACAGTTAGAAACCCACTAAAATACTACTTCTGAAGGCTTACCTTAATGTATTCCTAAAAAAAAAGTAAAGAAAAAATAAAGAAAACAGTTAAAACTACCAAAATACCACCTCCGAAAAACTTACCTTTATGTATTCCTAAAAAAAGTAAAGAAAAAATAAAGAAAACAGTTAGAAACCCACCAAAATACCACTTCTGAAAGGCTTACCTTAATGTATTCCTAAAGAAAGTAAAGAAAAAATAAAGAAAAAAAGTTTAAAAATCATCTAAAAGTACCCTCCAAAAGGTTTACCTTAGTTTTGAAAAAAGAAATTTTCTAAAAAAAAGCAAGAAAAAAGAGTTAAAAACCATCTAAAAGTTACTTCCGATTTGCTTATATTAATTCCCAAAATAAGAATTTTCTAAAAAACAAGAACAAAGAAAGGAAAATGCTACAAAAGTCACTTTCGATTCACTTACCTTAATTCCAAAATAAAAAATTTCCTAAAAAAACAAGAAAAAAGAAAGGAAATGATTAAATTTCTGCCCAAAAATCGCCTCATTAGGAGAAAAAATAAAATAAATAAATAAATTTTTTCAGAATATTCTGAAAGTTTATCAGTTTTATACTGTAAATTGAATTAAAATTTCGAAATTTAGATCTTATCATAAATACTACAAATAGATGATTTTGCATTATCCGATTGCAAAATCAACAATATTTTGATCGTTTCTAAGAACAATATAGAAAATCTTTCTAAAGGAATGATAATTCGATTGTTCCTTAAGAACAATATAAAAAATTGTTTGAAAGGAACGACAGTTTGATAATTCCTTAAGAACAATAACAAATCATTGTTCTTTCAGAACGATGATGTATTGTTCCTTAAGAACAATGAAAAAATCATTCTAAAGGAATGATAATTTGATTGTTCCAATAGAATGATAAAAAATCATCATTCTTTCGGAATGATAAGTATCATTCCTTAAGAACAATAAAAAATCATTGTTCCAATAGAACGATGAAAAATCATCATTCTTTCAGAACGATAATGTATCGTTCTTTTAAGACGAATGTATCGTCTCTTTGAGACGATACTCTCAGAATGTTTTTATAATTTTAGTAAAAATCGGCTCAGCAGATTTCGACCAGTGAGATATAGTCGATATATTGCCAAATCTTAAGTCTAACTGAAATTTTGCTGAATATTATAACCGAAAGGTCTTAATACCGAAATAATGCTAAATTATATGTGATATAACAAATTACTATTGATTTTTGTAACTTAAGCCGAATTTTTTATGAATCATATGACTGAATTGACTGAATGTTTGACGAAAAATCTAATGCTAAAATAATGCTAAATTATGTGTGGTGTAACAAATGACTATTGATTTTTGTAACTTAAGCTGAATTTTGGCAAATCATATGACTGAATCGGCTAAATGTTAACCGAATAGTATTAGTGCCAAATGAAATGATTTCGAATAGTGGTAGTAAAGTAACTTAGTATAATACGTATAAAAGAAAATTGTTTTTAGTTATAATATATAGTATAATTTTGAATATATATATAGTATAGTTCTTTTTAGATAAATATGGTATATATATTTTAAAATTTATATATATTGTCACTGGAAATAATTCTTCTTATTACACATATTTCATTAAGTTATTTTACTGTGATAAGTAAGTTCCTTATTGTTGGATTTTATAATTTTAGGGAATCTCACATCTTACAGGTATCTAAAATACCTTAGAATTACTTCGCTTGACTTTACAAATTTAAAGGTTTAGGAACTTAGGAAAACATAGAGAATTTATTTATTCTAAATGATGAACTTAAAAGTAAGTTAGTGTAATAGTTCATAATCAAATCCTAGATGATAGATATGTAAAAGGGAAAAGTAATTATTTTTCAAAGTTGATTCCTTTATTTATTACTTGAACTTATAACAAAACTGAAACTTACAATAGAATTAATTTACAACTTAAGTAAAAAGCTATTTTATTTATACAAAATTAATTTGTTATAGCTAACTAGTTACTATGCTATAAACTAACTAAATTTGTAACTACTAGTACTAATATAATAATAATAATAATAATAACGAAGATAATAATTATAATAGGAATAAAAATAATAATAAAAATAATAAAAATAACAATAATAATTAAAATAATGAAAATATTGGAAATTAGAAAAATCTAATGAATCCTGATGATTCTGGAAATCCAATAAATCCTAAAAATCCTAAAAATCTTATGGATCTAAAATTATGCAGACCTTCTAATTTGTGATTGACATAAAATTAATTTTAGTAACTTTCATAGATCATTTGATAATTCTTTGTAAATTCACTTTTTAATAGTAAATTTTTAACCAGTAACAATGTATAGTTTTTTTATAATAAATATTTTATACTTGTATAGGTTTTAATACTATATGTATATAAATAAAAAAAACTATACTATATAGGTTTACTATATATCCTTAAGAGAGGACTAGAAATGATATCATTAAAATTTTAGAAATTTTGCCATAATTATTTAATTTATATATATAAAATTTGTAAAGTAATATTATAAATTAAACCTCTCTTTCTTAGCATAATAGATATTTATTATATTATAAAATAATAAAATCAAATATCAATTTTTTTATATTATATATATAACATTTGATGACAATTGATTTAAAGTTATAAGAAGATGCAATATTTTTTCAAAAACTAATTAATCAATATGCATATTTTTTCATTAATATATTATTTATTCTTTTTATTACATTTGAATAAAAATATTTAAAAGATCTTTGACATAGTAAAGAGCTAAAGTTTAAGGTATTATTAATTAATATACAAATATTAAAATATATTTTACCAAGTTTTTATAAATTCTAAAGTATTTTTTAAGTATATTACAGCTGTTTTCATAAGGATATTTGACAATTTTTTTTAGTTAAATACTTATTAGGTAGTCAGGTTATCAGATACTTAGTAAATTAAAAATCAAAATAATATGTGATATTTTATAACTGAAAATTTTTTATTAATCAAATAGGCATTTTGTATTACATGAAAAAATATTTTTTATTAAACAATAATGTATTATCATATGTTTATCATATACTGAGTATCTGACAATCTGACTACCCAGCAAATACTTAGCCAAATGTTTTATTACTTATGAAAACAGCTGTAATATTTTACTTCTATTACTTCATTTTTTTTTTTACTTTCTTCTCTTCTTTATTTTATTATTTAATATTTTATCATCTAATTAACTATTATTAATATTATTATTTCTTTCTAATTTTTTATATAGAATTTTACATTAAAGATAACGTCCTTTTTATAGAATTCTAAATAATAATTATATTTATTATTTTATTCTGCAAAACATTTGAGATAAAAAAGCATTTTCATTACAATGCCGATCAATTTCGTACCAATCTTTTTATGTAATATTTCAAAAAATATTTCAACCAATAAAATTGCAAATGTTCATTATGCTGGGGCATCATTGCTAAATTTGGTAATTATCAACATGTAGATCGATATATACTTGGGTTTTTCCAAAAAAATTTTTCTCGCGAACACAGTCTTCCGCACCTCCTCATCTTTATATACTTATATATATACCAGAAGTTGGAAAACAGCTGCAAACAGTCTACTGGTTCCGAAGGAGGCTCCGGTTTGGAGTCAAGGTTCTTCGACCAGAAAGAAACTGGTTACCAAACTCCAGAAGCGATAACTGTTTACAAACGTCCAGAGGACAGAACTGGGGTAACAAACCGCCCAAGAAGGAACTTCTTGGGACACGAAAGAAGGAATAATAAAAAAAAAAAAAAATAAATTAGATAGAAACCAAATGTTCTCACCATGCATCGTTGGAAAAGGTTTAGATAGACAGAAAACTTTGCTTGGTAGATGAGAGCTCCAATTTTTTTGGGTTGCGATTAGTACTGACGTCCTCGTCGTGCAACCTGGGTACTAGTATTATCTAGTAGCGAACAAGTACTATATATATATTTTTTTTTTAGTCAGTTGATTGGTCTGTAAATTTTTACTTGAAAATCGATTTTTTATGTAAATGTGTGTACATACAAAATGGCGTAATATCTTCGCAATGGATTTTAGTAATCGTGCTTTAGTATGCACGAAATTTATATTACAGAAAGTGAAATCAACGGTTAGATAAGAGTTAATACTGTTAAAATCTGGGCCGGCGTTGAGCAAGTCATTAACTGACCAGCTTCTAGTTTTGAAAAATAATGTTGATAATTTACCGCAGAATGTGCCACCGTTATTTTGAATACTTACGATATGAGAAATATCCCGGTTACTTTGAAATTATCCAATCGTGTTAAATCGAACATATCATTTTCATTCATTTGCATAGACATTATTTTATTATTAACACACCTAGGCAAAGGAAATGTACCATCAGGTAATGTAACATTACAAACAATAAGTGCATCTGGGACTTTGGCAGTATAATCTCCTGGTGTGGGAATCATACTCATTTCTGTTATTGCCTTCTCCATTTAAAGAACGATACTCCTGATATGTAATGGTTACGAGTAAAAAAGTAAGTTAGATGAAGGAATTCCATTAGATTATGCACGTATGTTTGCCTCATAATTATAAATATGACGAAGGGGGGAACTACCTATTACTAATCACAAAAATCACAATCATTGTCTTTTATGATTTCATTGTTTGGTAGTTTCCCCCCTTCTATTGCAAAGGTCAGACAAAGTTTAATTTTTTTTGCCTATTCAAAAAAAAAATTTCCGAATAATTGATCATTCGTAACGAATTATTTATCATCTTTATTTATTAAAATGTATATTATTTAGAGGTAAATACTATAAATAACTAAATTAATTATTACTAAAAAAAACTATAATTAATTATTGTGTCTTTGTAAATTTTTTTTAGTTCATGAATAAAGCTTTTTCATCAATAGGGAAACCTAACCTTTCCAAAGATTTTTTAATGCTCTCATTAAATTGATCGGTACCACAAATAATTACTTTAACTCGTTTAGAATTATCCATAGTAAATAATCTTATATAATTTTGTCTTTCATTCATTTCGTTCGTTTGTGATGAAGAAATGCTTAAAGGTGATGATGCTCTTTTGTTATATGCCATTTGTTGACTATTTCTAGCCAATTGATCACGTTCTTCAAACTTTTCATACTTGGGGCTAGAGTCTTGAATACTATTTTCACCGTTAAAATTATTTATTCTTGGTGTAATTGTAGGAGAATAATTTTGACTCATCCAATTATATAATTTTGTATCATCAATTGTTCCGCAGAGTCCTTTCCAAATTTGTGGAGGTTTTGATAAAACATAAGTAATGTTAAGTTTCCCTTTAAGTATTTGACATATATAGTCCAAATATTTTGGATATATTAAATCTGCTATGGTACCATTTGCTATTAATAAAAATAATTTGAAATCGGAACCTGAAGATGCCGCTTTTTCCATATGATATTGTATCTTATAAAATCAAATTAAAATTTAATAAGAAACTTTTTTTAAAAAAAAAGAAAGAAAAAGAGATTTGATAACGTACCAATTGCAACATTGGAGCAATTCCAGTACCACAACAAACCATAAACAAATAATCCCAACATAAATCTTCTCTTTCCTTATTTAATAATATTCCACTTCTACCTTCAAGTAAATTATTATTATCAACATCACTATTATATAATGTATTTACTATACCATTCTGTTGTAAATATGTAGCGATACTGTGTGATTTTCTCAAATCGTAAATACTAAGATTTTTATTAGTTTCTCCAAGTGAGGGTGATGAAGGTCTAGTTAATATGTTGGTTTCTAATATTGGCAGCACCATTCGATTTGCTATATCAAATGGTCCCCTCACCTTAATCTCAAAATTTTTTAATTGTTTATTCTATGTTACAAAAAAAAAAATGGAAAATGGAAAACAGATAAAGTGATTAATATATCTTTTTCATTTTTTTTTTAAAAAAAAAAAATTAAGATAAAAATTTTTTTAAAACTTACTAAATGTTGAGACATGATACCATCTTTATATATTTTAACCAATATACAGAAACTATTGTCAGTTGGTCCCTGAATTGGAGTATATAGTCTAGTAATCACTTGATTATTAGTAAAACTCATGATTTCAATATAATCTCCGGGAAGAAATCTCGGTAATTTGTCTTTTTGATGTATAACTTGAAATGTAAATTTTTTAACAGGATTTGCGGCATTGTGTCTAGTTACAAGTTCGATATTAATTAAAATATATCTTCGGAAAATTTGAGAACTTGATAATGGTTGTGTTATCTTTTCATTATTTATTTCAAAACTTCTCATCGGGTTTTGTTTAATTGTATCTGTAATTGCCGAGTTGCTTAACCTGGCAATTACCATGCTAGCTAATTTAGACGTAGCAAATTTTGAATGACGATGCATCGCAACTCTACGATCCTTATATGTTTTGGCATTAACCATGTCAATAGCATTTGCTATACTATGAGGTCTTTTTTTCTTCTTTTTGGAATCATATTTCGATCTTTCATTATATGTATTATCCGAGATATTGGGTTGTTGAACATCACTATATTCAACTTTAATATCAGTGCTGATAACTATTTGATCTGTAGGATCAAAGAAAAAATCTTGTGTAATATCAGTACCAACTACTCTTCTTAATATCCTTTGTCCTCCCGGATGTACTGGAATCCATCGATGTATATCAAATACTAATCCCTCTGCTATAACTAAATTAGCTCCCGTCATTACTCTATTATTAAATTCCTGTAAATTAGTAGAAAAAAATTTAATTAATTTTTTCCTTTTAAAGAAAAAAGAAAGGAAAAGGAAACGTCCTAATTTATTACATACATCCCAAGTAATGACAGGTAAACTTTCAAAAACTTCCTCAGGGATACAATTTTGAATCCGTTTTGTCGAATCTTCCGTAAACCTTACCGGCCACAAGAATTGCATATTTTTGATTTTATAATAAAATTCACTTGCGGTTATTGCAAATCCAATAAAAACTATTATGCGTAAATTTTTTTTCAAAGTAAAATAAATTGTTAGTAACTTTAATAACGTAGTAATTAAAAAAATTACTAATTATCAATAATATTTACCCAACCAAACTATATAAGCCCAAATGAATGCCTTATTCGCTCCATATACACTCAAGCCGAAGAATATATTAATCCTATACGAATAAAAATATATTAAATTAATTTTGTCAAATCCATTTTTTTCTTTCCTTTTTTTTTTTTTAGAAAATATGAAATACATACCACGCAGCTAAAAGTAGTGCGCCTCCCAAGTAAAAGTGTAAGTGCTTTAAATTACGAACAATTCCCGTTGCTGCTGATTCAACATTAGCCAATCCCCAAATCGCCATCATACCCAAGGAAATTTGTATTATTGTAATAGTAAATATTATTATGCCTATTCTATAGAAATAAAAACAAAAAAAAGGATGAGAATTTACGGAGTTCAATACTTCAAAATGAGGGCTAAAGAAAATTTATTTACATTGCGTGAGGACTCTTTGCGTGTGAAGGTGTTACTGACATGGCTACTGCGGCAAATATTCCTACCATCATCCCGCCGAATAAATTTAAATTTCGATGCTGCACCATATAACTATTGATATGCCTTAAATATCTGACTATCCATACTGAACCTGAATTAAAATAAATTAAAATTATAAAAAATTCGTAAAAAGGGTAAAAAAAAATTAAATAAATAAATAAACTAAATAATTGTAACTTATACTTACATGGAAGTAAAACTCCCCAAATAATAAACATAACAATTCCATGCATCATTAATATTTTCATTCTACCGTCCGCATTTGAGCTTATACCGCTCCGGAAATTTATTTCTCTTTTATCACGATTTCCACCATGATAAGTAATTTCGTTTGAATTAGGATTCCAAGCATAAACCACTAAATGAATCCATAAAATACGCGTTATTTTACATCATAAAAACATTGTTTAATATTCAACATCCCCGGTTTTTTTTTTTTTTTACATACTTTGAATAGTACCATCGATAGATTTTCGATTTTTAGCAATTAAAGGTCGCTTGACTTCAACTTGAGTCATTCCATCCACAACTCTTGTTGCGCCTAATAATGACAAAATTTGATCATCCTCAGGTAATTCCTTGGGCTTAATCGCGAGCCCAATACCCTTATAATTCTTTCCAATGACGGTAATTTCATTAGAATTTTCTTTCTTTTGATTTTGAAATATCATCATATCAGTTCCTGACATCGCATCACCCTCAGGATTAAATCCTATTCCAAACCATGAATTTGTACTACTCATTGTAATCAAGAAAGTAATGTCAGAACCATCTATTTTCCATTGAATAATAAATCCATCAGCAAGAGGTAGAGCATCCTTATAATCAGCATTATCTTCGGGTATTTTTAATGAAGTTGGTGGCTGTACAAACCAAAGATTTTGCGGGTATAATGATGATTTTGGCGTGTTCCTTATTAAAATATCTAATAAAGTAGTTGTTTTAATTTTTGCTATATCTTCTTGACTGAACCCTGCATCTTTATTTTCATACCAAAATCTGTCAGAATCTCTAATATTTAACCATTGTTCTGAAAAGCTTTTATAAAATAATTCTCCGTAATTTCCTCCATTAATATGATCTTCAGCTAATCCACCCATTAATGCCTCAACTCGATCTACGGTTCCATAGGTATCTTCTAATCTTTTTTGTACATCAGGATCGCTCGAGATATCTGCCCATGATGTTTTTTTTGGTAAGCCAAATGCTGCTCTTGCATCATTATATAAAGGAATGCCACGATCTCTACTTCGAACAGCATCAAGACTAATAATAATAAAAAAAAAATTAAAAGAAATCTAAATACTTTGTAATATACAATAATAACTAAAAATTACCTGGCAATATCTATACGTTCTACTGATCTGTGGATATAACTTCGCCTAAATAGGTCAAGAAAGAGATAAATAATGTGATTATATAAAGAAAAAAATCTCATAAACGAACCTTACATAAAATCAGAGAAATAGATATCAACTTCTTCTTGTCTATAAAATTTATATGTTAAATGATATTTTAAAGCAAAAATACGTATTATATCAGTGATAAATACCTTTCAAGTGCTAACGAGAGAGCAATTGATGGAACTCCAAAGATTTTTAATAGTTCAGTTGACTGTACATCATTCAATGCCAATTTTGTAATCGGTTCTCCTTGATTATTTACAATATTATAAAAATCGCTAATATATAAAGAGTAAAATTATTTTAAAAAAACGTAATACGATATCATAATATAATATAATCTCTTTAATTCGTTTTTACCTGATCTCGGAATGACCATAACGATAAGTTACGGTAGCAAAGAAAGTATCGATTACCGGTTTAAGATCTGGTTTATATCCCTCATATTTGGGCAAAGGAATCCCCAACGCAGTTCCGACTATATCATAAATCATATCATAAATCATCGGCAATATAACATTTTTTAAAAAATCACGATTTAACTTACGATATTCATAATAAGTAATCTTTTGAATAAAAGCGATAACCCATCTTCTAGCTTCCTGGAAATATTGTTCATCGCTCCAATCATTTCCATGAATGGCAAAAAATTCATCACACAACCGATTATGTTCACGTAGGAAAATTACATGAAACAAATCAGTAAAAATAATTCTAAAATCCGCGCTATATCCTAATATGTATCTTCCGTTCTCTTCAACAAATGGAAATCCAAATTCATCACCGGGCAATTTTTCCAAACGCATTTTCCCATTATTACCATAATCTCTAACTCGCTGCAAATCAATTTCATTGTTACCATAAATTGTAGACGCGTCAATAAATGATGTAGCCTCATTTATTCCTGTATATCCACCTTCTAATTTTGAACGATTAAACGGTAACGTTTCCTATTTTATAATATATCAGATATTATAAAATGATTCTTATTAATATAACGACGATAATAAATATTTAAAATTTACCGTAGCGAAAGTAAAATTTGCTGGTTTTGGACCGTTCCTATAACTAGATATGTATGATATATCATCCTTAGGAATGACAATGCCTGTTGGATAAATCTCTCCTTTATCCAGTCCAGAACTAACGTCCATCTTTACGAAGAATCCCCAATATGTCAACTTATTTTTTCATTAAAAAAAAACGTTAGGAACGTTAATGTACCGCAGTCAACTCACATGAAATCGTTTATCCTCAAACACACACTTACAATATGAGAAATTTTCCGTTTACTTTTGAATTTATCCAAACGTGTTATATCGAACATGTCATCATCACTTAATTGCATAGACATTACTTTATTACTAACACACCTAGGCAAAGGAAATGTGCCAAGAGGTAATTTAGCATTACAAGTGGGTGCACCTGTACCAATAGCTTTATAATTTCCTGGTGTGGGAATCAAATTATAATTCTCATCTGCGAAATTAGGCACAGATGGAAAATTTCTGACGAATGGAGTGTTTGGAGTGCCAATTAATGGCTCATCCTTTTTATTACCTTCGCCATTTACAGAACGATATTCTTGATAAGTAATTGTTATTAGTAAAGACAGAATTATGAAAAGAATATGGAATAACTTATTATATATCATATTCTTCTAATTATTATTATTATTTTGTATAATTATTAAAATTTAACATAAAGTTCAAAAAAAAAATTTAATCTCTATTATTTATAAAAAACAAAAAGTTTTTTTAATCTTGTTTCATTGGGATCTTGTGATATTTTATATGTTGTTTCCAAGTGCTGTTTACGATAAAATCTGCTCCAGTGATATTAAAAAATGCGATTTAATAAATCTTGCGTTTTTGTAAACAATCTAATTAAACCTATCAAATGATTAATTTCCCTAATAAGGAATGATCAAATGAGTTTTCGTTTTGGAATTATATATTATAGAATAATAGATTTACAAAACATTTATTTTTTTTTTTTTAGAAATTATGTCTAATTATTAATAAGATCGAAAGGGATACGAAGTTTATTAATTTGCTTAATTACGTTATCTGATACATTTCAATTTCTTTGTAACCCAAATCTGAACAAGACATAATTTTGAAAAAAAAAAATCATGAAACTCGAATATTCACGATTTACAAATCAAAGTTTTTTTCTCGGCCAAAATTATAGTAATCGTCTTCCAAGCAAACAAGAAATTCTTGTACAAATGATTATTTTGCATAGAGTACAAATGTAGGGTAATATTAATTTTCATAGTGGGCACGTGTATAACAATCGGATAACAATCGGACCAACGATATGCATTTTTTTAAACCAGCGATCGATACAAAATTTACAAGTGGGCAAATATATTTTTAGAATAATCTATATCTGAATCTTGGATGATTTGGATGTTCTAATTTAAATATGCATATGGTTGATCAGCCGATATCTGAATATATAATTATGAATGAAAGAAATTCCTTCGCTCTGAATTCTACAAGCTTATCTAAATTGGTAATTTTCAATATTTTGAATGTACATGTGTAATATATATGCAATTTTTTTCCTCAAAGAAAAACCAATTAGACATCAATATCCTTATTGGTAGAAATAAATAAAATTGATATTGATAAGACGTACAGATGTAAACATTTTAAACATCATATTTTAATGTTAAAATGATTGTGATACAAATGGACTCCTTCAAGAAATAAATTTGTGACAGTTTCTTTAATTATTAGAATATTAATATTCTCGAGATTAAATTCGTCCTGAAACAAATAATAAATTTATAAACATAATTTATTACTTATATAGTACCTACCATAATTATTATTTAAATCGTGAACAGTGCTCAATTAAGTGATTTTATTTGTGGCTTTTTTATTTTATTTATTTTTCGTGAAACAATACTTTTTGGAATCAAAAAACAAATATCGTGTGTCTTATGTAGATAAGCAAAAATAAATATTACTTATTTGGAAATAAGAGCTTTAGATGGGATTTACCGGATTATTTCCCCGGAATGGGAAATAAGTGAGTTATCCAATGTCTTATCACATCATAATTAACCTTATTGCGTCAAATATATACATTTGATTCATCATCTGTATTGCTTCCTTTATAATTATTATTTTAATAATTTGTGGTTTTCTTGCCTTTATTATTATAATTTTTTTGTAATCCATCTCCATAAATATAAACCAACCTTTTAAACATGATCATTGTCCGAAGCGTAAGCGTAGGACATTTCTGGTTAGAGCTGAAACTATGCATGTGGTGTCTGTCACAACGTGTGATCTACCAATCACATTTCTGTCAATCATTTTGTGTGTATCAGTTTTTCGAACATTTATTTAAATTATTCTAATAAAGTTAGGAATTGATAATTTTTAATTTAGTAATACAGACATTATTTTAATTAATCGTATTTTTAACTTTATAAATAAAACAGTATTAAAGATATTTATATGTTGATTAACGCTTCGGACGTTCCTAACGGTTCCCATTACCTTCAATTTCAGATTTTGTTATGAATAAATTCAAAAGTTGAATTTCTCTCTGCAGCTGGAAATGATATAGAAATTAAAAAAAAATTGATAGCTAATTGTTGAAGTTCATGATTTTCACCAAACAGAAGGACTAAGAGTGAATGATAACATCCAAATTATTTTATTATCATATGATGAAGCTTTTTGGTGAATTTTTACAAGCTTAATAAACTATTTTACAGATCTTTCCAATTAGTAAATGTTGTAAATACAAAATACCCAGTTGCCTCTAAATCTGTATTTTGACTTTTTCTAAGAAATATGATCCAACATATAAGCAACTATCATAATAGGATTGATATGTATATTCCTATCTTTTTAAACAAGTGTTAAATATTTTTAGAAAAATTCCATAAAAATTTATTAAGTTGTTCTATTAATTTACTATGATATAAATATACTATTGAAAGAGTAAATGTATTTAATTCAAAAAACTTTAATTTTACAACTACTGACTTTAAAATTTTTTTAAAAGTTTTAATATTAATTTTATTATTTACTAAAATTCATCTGATAATATATTATTTTTAATTATTTGATCCATTTTTTAGTGAATTAAAGATTATATCAATGATTATTAAAAGCAATTCTTAATTATTAAAGTGATTAAAAGTAGCTAAAATGAGTTTATGTTATAAAATTACTGGTAAAACTTATACAATTTCCTTGTTATAATTTTTCAATTAAATACACTTTAATTTTACTATTACTTTTAAATGAGATATAAATAAACTACTATCATTTTTGCATTATTAACTAGCTTTAATTTTATCAATTCTTAAAATATCTCTAATTAAAAGATTAAGAATATGAGAGTTACTTTTAAGACAATTACATTAAAATATTTATCTTCAATATTTCTCTATTTTAATTTTATTACATTAGTTATATCTTTAATAATTATTAAAAACTTTTAAAAATAAATAATATTTATTTGTTAAATTATTTGATTGAAAATCCATTCTGCTGTATAAGATTCTTCATTTAAAAAGATTGCATCAATAAAAAGATTTTGAAATATATACAACAAAATTATTTATTGATTTTCTAATATTAACTAACTGGTTAACGCTCTTATAAGAGCGTTAACCAGTTGAACTATAATGTTAACTAGTTACAGATATAATGATATCTAGTTATGAGTATATTGTTATCTAATTATATGTTTTCAAGACTCTGTGGTCTTTTTATGAGCAAGTTGATATCCATTTGTTTTCATTACTCTGTGGCCTTTTTATTGCCTTGTAGCTATCCGCTTGTTTTTATTGCTCTATCCTCTTTTTATTACCTTCTAGCTATCCGCTTGTTTTCATTACTCTGTGGCCTTTTTATGGTCAAAATGCTAGGCCGACATTGATTGCTAAAAATCATGTTGTGATCAGGTGGCGCAGTAAATTTGCGGATCAGATTTTGACCAGCATTATGCTATTTTTGACCTGATCTTTAGTGCGGGATATATTGGCTTCCTGTGATTGGATTCGTGCGGTTTTGTGGTCGTTTGAAAGAGGGCATTGAGAGCTTTCCAATGATGCTAAGACCGCATGAATTGGATGCCTGGATGCCGAGATATTACATCCAAAATTCTGGTAAAAAATATGGATTAGTGCCGGCCAGAATTTATCAGATCACCATAATTTACTGCGCCTTACTGCGCCAGTCACGTGATACTGTTCGGCGCCAGAACACCCTCTATCATATAGTATTACTAATTTTGGCCGGTATTATAATAAAGCTAACTCTGACCGATTTTTTGGACATATAATTTTGGGATCCATCTTGGCGCCATGGTAGTGACCTGGAGCTGTTATGGAACTGGTGTAGAACTGGCAAGGAGCTAGTATAGTTTTATTAATTCGCCTGTTTCAGACCACTTATATGCCAGCTTGGGTGCCGAATTATTATATCCAAAGTTCTGGCCGAAATTGTGGAATAGTGTTGGCCGAAATTAAGCGAATTTATATTGCGCCTACCGTGTTAATCATGTGATTCAGTTCCTTGCCAGTTCCAGGCACTTCCCCGTCACTTTCTCGCAACTTTCGAGAGACTGGTTGGAGGATCGGAAGTACCAAGATTGGCCTATGTAATTGCCAGGAATTAGTGCTGAATTAGTTCAGGCTATATTGCTTTCATACCCTTTTTTCGTGTATCCTCCTGAACCTTTCTGACTTCCCAACTTCTTTCCTGCCTATCGCCGGTAGTATCCCAAGTTGTAATTTCTTATTTTCTTTCCTATATATTATTCTAACTTGGGATACTACCAAATTTATACCCTAGTTTTCGCTCCTATAGTTCCTGAATCCTTTCTCGCATGACTGTATTGTTAATCGGCAAGGGAACTATGTTGCCCGATCATATCTTTCTTACCTTTTTTCATGTATTCTCCTGAGCCTTTCCGCCTTTCCGACCTCTTTCCTGCCTATCGCCGGTAGTATCTATAAGCATAACTTTCTATTTTCTTTCCTATATATTATTCTACCCGTGGATACTACCAAATTTATATCTTAGTTTTCGCTCCTGCCTTCCTAGAACTCTTTCTTGTATAGTTACTATTCCGGGATACTTTGGGGTACTACTACATCGATTGCTTTTGGGTATTACTTTTGGATACTACCATATCGATTACTATTGGGTACTACCACTGTCCCAGTATTTTGCTGGCAAGCATATTCGTGAGAAATTTTTATTTTGAAGATTTGGGAAATTTACATGTAAGTTTATACTTAGTATTTCCATACATTGTATTATGCTTGCGCAAAAAAAGCCCGGGCCTGGCCTTAAAACAATAAATGAAGCAACCAGGCTCTTCTCTAGTTTAGCCGACCTCGATTTTGAGCCTGGTTATAATGATCATGTATACTTTCAATATCTGTCTAATAGTAAAGATGACGTCGCTCTTCTAGATACCTATCATTCCGAAGAAATTTTTGATAAATATATAGTTCGGGTAGCAGGGAAGGGTTTTACAGTAGTCGACTACCCATCCGAAGTTTATGGGTTACCCGATACTCATGAATGTATTGATGGGAATTTGCCTCTACGCCTGGTTTTAGATATTGATGCGAGGCAAAAGCCTGATCCCATGAATCCTGAACTTCCTTCCTTAGATGGAAATAAAATTTCTCGAGAAGATTTATTATCCAGAATCTTAATTGCCTGTGCCAATATTCTATGCTCTGATTTAAAACATTTTCTACCTTTAAATGCTTTTACCTTAGCCAGTTCGTCTAATGCTGATAAATGCAGTTGGCATATTGTGTATAAATATGCACGGTTCGTTGATTATAGAGATCTTAAAGGTTTTGTGGAAAAAGTCGCTGATAGGGTTGGAAAACTATACTCCGAATTTATTGACATAGGACTTTACAAATCACGTTTTAGTCTTCGGCTTCTTGGATCGGCAAAGGAAGATAGAGTTAAAAGACCTGCGATTTCTTCAGTTAAACAAGGATATCGCAAGCTAGAAGATTATTTAGTTCAACCTAAATCTGATTATTCTGAAATCTGGCCTCGAACTTTTTCTTCTGAGAAGCCAGAAAAAGAAGAGTTTCAACCTATCGAAGATGAAACTGCTTTAAGCAAGGGAGCTAGTCAAGTTACCGCAAAATATGGATGGCTTGAGATTGGCAATATTAGAAAGGGATTTGTCAATTTTCAAGCCCGGTCATTGGAATCGTGCCCCATTTGCAATATCCGTCACGAAAAAGATCAGTTATATGGTTTTCTTCGAAGTAACGGATGCTTTATACTTAGATGTTATCGGCAAAAGCAATATAAACCAGATCATAAAGGATTGGCATTCGGGGAAGCAACTAAATTTTCTGCAAAGCCTAAGCGAGGAATAGTTAAAAGAATAGGTGATGCTATATCCAATCCACGCCCCCTTATAGAATTATCAGAAATGGCAATTAATGTAGAAAAATTAAGAGATGCCCCCGAAGCATATCCCGATTTCTTGAATACTGAGAAAACAACAACACTTATTCGTTCTCCTCCGGGGACATGGAAAACCACTGCATTAAGAGAGATTATTATGGGATTGAAAGATAAAGTACATGATATTTCTTCTTTACCATGCTATATCTGGATCTCTTACCGAAAGTCTCTTAGCAATGAGTCAAAAGCGAAACTCGATGATTTAAAAGCATTAGGTTTTCGAATTTGCAATTACCAAAATACACTAGGAGATTTATCTATAGACAAATGGGATATTATCATAATACAGGTTGAAAGTCTTTTTCGTATTGAGTTCTCAGCCCGTCCGTTTGTAGCTATTCTCGATGAAGCCAATGCTATCATGCGTCAAATGTCCAGCGGTACAAATGCACGGGAGTCTGAGAATGCAATGCGTGATGTTTTAAGATCTGCGAGGCATGTTTTGGCCATGGATACCTTCGCAAATATCTCAACACTAACCTTTCTCCAGATTTATCGTGGTGAAAATATTCGCGTAGTCGATAATAAGTATCAGCCTCGTATAGGTGAGACGGTTGAATTTATTTATGATCCAAATAGTGGAGCAGAAGCCATGCGAATAGGATATGATCTTTTGAGGCAGGGCAAGCGTGTGGCATTTGTATCTACCGGAGCGGTGATGGCTAGAGCATTAGTAGAAAAAGCATCTAAGTTATCTAAACCTGATAATTCACCTGTTAGAGCCCGCGCTTATTACGGAGATATGGATGGAAGACAACGTCAAAAAGACTTTTCTGATATTAATGTCGCTTGGGGTGAACTTGATTGCGTAGCTTATACAAATACAGTAGAGGCGGGAATATCGTTCGAAGTTACGGGCCATTTCGATATAATCATAGCCATTACAAATATCGCCACTCCAGTTCATGTTGAAGCTCTTGCACAAATGCTTTATCGAATTCATGACTGTCCTCGTCGTATTATTTCCATGTTCTATCAGAAAAATTCTAATGAGCTTTTTCGCCCACCAGGCCGTGAGAATATTCGAGCAGAACTTGCAAGTGCTCGGCCTAATAATTTACCCACAGCAATAAAGGGACATCGTGAATGGAATAATAATACCATTTCTTATAAAGTTGATGAGTCTCCGGCCGTAATAACATTCATTGAAGTCGAGCATCAGAAACGTCTTTCTGCAAGATATTTTATTGAAAAGCTTTGTAGTCTTATAGCCAGTACAGGCGCTTCTCTCCAACTTATAAAAATGGATGAAAGCCGAGGAGTTATAGGGAATCGTAAAAAAGTCCGCAATGAGATTAGGGTTGAAGCATTAGTTATCAAGAATACAGATTTTAACGCAGTTGCTACTTTCCAGAATCTTAGTCCTGAAGAAGCTGAAGTTCTTAAATTCGACCAAGAACGTTCTATCGCAGATACTATGGCACTTAAACGTTTTTATATGAGGAATCTTTATTGCAAAGACATGAGTATCGAGGATTGGAATAATATTTGCAATAGAAAATTCGTTGAAAATTTTAGTCCACCCGAAGCTCGGAAGCATTTCTTACGATTGTCTTATTTTCGAAGGCAAGGTCATAATGAGGAGAGCGCAATGAAGGGATTGAAAGCTGAAGAAAATGTACAATGGGAATTTGCCTGCTATAGAGCCGAAGAGAATCTGGAAAAATCAGTAGCAAAGGACTTGCGTAAATCTTATTCAGCAAATCATTGGGAAGTTATACAAGAACTTTTTCGAATACTAGGCTTTACTGGCATTGATGACAGGCGTACTCTTTCTGGTGATACTGCATCAGAATCATTTACACAGTCTTGTGAAAGGTTTATAGAAATCCGAAACCAATCTTTATTACTCTTTGGTTTTAAGTCTCGTGCAAAGAAAATACCAGATCTTAAATCGGCTATACAAGCAATTAATGCAATTGCTGGCAATTGGTGTGGATATACCGTTAAAAGTGATAAAAAAAGAATAGGTCCCAGAGAAAAGCAGGTTTGGGAATATTCATACAAAATTAATCGCCAGCCATATAACGGTACTGGTTTTGGAGATAAAGGTGCACCAGAGCTTCCACCATACAGGCCGAAAACAGATAATGATATTCAGGAACTCTTTGACTCTATAGG